AATGGTTCGCTCGAATGACTCGAAAATGATCGTCGCTTGGGATTCGTTATGACTCGTCTTTAACCCTCGGAAAAATCCTGAAAATATACAAGAGCACGGAAAAGTACGCTAAAATATAAAATGACACGAAAAACACAAAAACACTCGAAAAACGATAAAATGGACAGGTCGAACCTAAAACGAACCTAAAACCGACTCGAACACACATAAAAACACATAAAAATAAGCACAAAACATAACAAACAAGGTTCAGACATTCCATAAATATTATTTAGCCAACTTAGGTATTTTAATATCACTTTTACTAATATAACCCTTTAATTTTTTGTAATTTTATATAGTGAGATATTAAGTGACTAATATTTTGATTTGTTTCCTTCAATTAGCTATTGAATTGTAAATTTATTTTAAAAGTTGATAACTTTTGTATTTCATATCGGTTTTACATATATGATATATCAAATTAATCTTCTTTTGATGATCTTCGATTTGACATCCATATTGTATATATGAAATAAATAATTTTATTTATCTTTATAATAATAAACAATAATAATATTATTAAAAATCATTAGAAAAATAAAAATATTTATCAATGGATATATTTATGTTTAATGTAAAGTGAGACACTAATTTACTAATATATCCCTTATTTTTGATTTGTTTCCTTCAATTAACTATTGAATTGTAAATTTATTTTAAAAGTTGATAACTTCTGTATTTCATATCGGTTTTACATATATGATATATCAAATTAATCTACTTTTGATGATCTTCGACTTGACATCCATATTGTAATATATGGAATAAATAATTTTATTTATCTTTATAATATAAAAAATAATAATATTTATTAAAAATCATTAGAAAAATAAAATTGTTTAACAATTGATATATTTATGTTTAATGTAATTACATGTTGTAAGTTAAAAAAATTATTATAATATAACACAGGTAAGTCGCACAAATAAAAAGTGTCATACTAAATATATAATAATATATATATTTTTATAAAAGGTATTGAAATTTTCAATTAATTTTTCTCATTAATTTTATATTTTAAGAAAAAATTAGCAAGCACCCGTGTAATACACAGATGTTGTACTAATAAACATATAAAACATGCATATTTTCACATATATGATCGATTTCTCGGTTAATATGCATACACTTGGAAAGGAACCAAGAACCAAAACCGAAACATGTACAAAATAATCAAAAACTGAAAAAATAGTTTTTTTTTTAAATAACCGGACCGAACCGGTTTTTTCCAATTCGGTTATCAGGGTCTCGGATATAAAATCCCACCTCTAAATAAGTCGTGTTCTTTTTCTTTCTCTAGTTCCTTTTATTTTCTTTTAGATTTCTCTCAAGTCGAACCGTTCATTTTGATTGCGACTAATTGAATTCCGCATAAAATCGAGAAATCGGACGATCTCGAAATAATCTGTAGGCGCGGTGGGCATGGCAATGGATGAGGGTTCTTCTATGGGTTTGAGAACGGCTTCAAGTGCAGCCTCCTCTGCCTCAACTCCCATAGACTCGTCAAATATTGGCTTTCAGGTTGTTTGCATTTCCTTTTTTTTTTTGGTTCTGTTTCCAGTTTCATGCTTTCTGGAATCGTTGAATGGGTTTTCTGGATTTGACATGTATGACTGTTTTCTTACATATACACTCAGCTGTTGAAGAAGCATGGATGGAAAGAGGGGACTGGACTTGGTGTTGATGAGCAGGTGCGCTCTCTCTGCCCCTCTTCCCTCCACCTATTGATGTACTATAGTATTCGACGATTTGCTCGTGTATTTCTTTGATTTAATTAATGTATGTGTTTCTAGAAAATAATGGATTAGATCAAAATGGCTCAATCAAATTCTAGTGCTTCTTCTATTAGTAAAGTTTCTAGAAAAGAATATATCAAATGACCTTGGGTCGCTATGGAAACAACTTACCTTGTATAATTACAAGGGTAAGTAAGGTCTGCGTACAACTGACCCCCCAGACCCCAACCTGTTGGGAATATACTGGGTATGTTGATGTTGATGTGAATTAATGTATGTGTTTCTGGACTTGATTTGGTCCGTTTTCTTAAATGTGCTACTCAGTTCTTTAAACTTAAAAGGTGTTTTGTTTTGGATTTTGTATGGTCCATTCTTTTGAGAACTTGGGAGGGGAAAAAAAACCAGAGTATTGGTAGTATATCCGTCTGTTGTAATGTTGGGACAAACAGGCTCACTGGCGTGATTTCTGTGACGGAACTAGCTTTGATTGTAATTGTGGATAGGATTTAACATATATTACCATTTTGTCCATAACATTATATCTTGTACCTTTCTTTGGATACTCACTCTTTTTTTTTTTAAGTTCTATTGTAAATGTTCTACTATTATATTATGAGGGTGATTGAATTTTGGCGGTTGGGTTGGTTTTGAGTTTTGATTCTTTAGTCTGTTTACCAATTTTTTGGCAGAGTTGGAAAATGATGAGCTAGACGGCTTATAAATGCGACCTTATTGCAGGGGCTTTTGGATTTCTGGCCTCTCTGTTTTTCTTCATTTAAAGTTGTTGCGTTGTTATTCCTTGAAAACCAATGCAATAACCTCTGAAATATGAACCAAGTATTGCATTGGTTTTAGAATAAAATAAAATGTAACAGTTGGTCTGTGATTGCTAAAAGTGGATATCCTCATTGATGAAGGGCTTATCGATGATAGGAGTTTCTAAATAATGTTTGAGACAGTGAGCCCTTTTAGGCAGTGATTAAAAAACCATCTTAAGAAATAAAGATGACCTTTCAGATGTTTGAGATTATGCGTCCATAGAGAGTCTTTATTTCAGTCTCATGTTTGACTATTTTCTCTTAAAGTTTTCAATCTTTTGATATGTAATTAAGCTAAAAAATGGGGAAAAGAATCACAAACAATGAGAATTCGTAGGTTAGATTTGTTTGTTAGTCATGTTTACACGTCTTTGGTTCTCTCACGAGCTCGGCCAGCATAACATTAGATGGGTGATAAAGTATGAACTTTTGTTTCCATGCTTTATTTTCCATGTCTTGGTTTGTGCTCTAGAAGCTTAACCTGGTTGGAAATGTCCAATCAACTCTTGATTACAAGTTTACTACTAAGTCTACACTAACTAAACTTTCTAAGGAATGGACCTAGACAAGATGAGAGATGACAATGCCATAACTTTTGAGTACCTCAATTTGGTGTTATATTCTTCACCTATCATGGAGAATACACATACTTGTATTAATTTCTAACAACGTAATACATATACTTATCTGGGCAGTGTCACTTATTCCACACAGGGCAGGCTGGAGCCGGTGCAGGCTTTTGTTAAGAAAAATAAGCGCGGTTTGGGAGCAGATAAACCCAAGAAGGCAATCGAGCACTCAAAGACCAATAGTGCAGATGATCCAAAAGTAAGTGCTGATTTTTCCTTTTGCCGCACCATGTTTTTTTTTTTTCTTTTTTCTTGTTCATTATTTTGATTATGCTGTTTATATTGGTTTGAAGCCTGATTGGTTTGTATTGGTTTATCATATTTCTTGCTTAGTGGTACTACATCTCGTGTGATCTTAATAATTATGAGGCGCCAATTAGAACTTCTAGACTTCTTTGAGAAATATGAACAGATAGAGTTAACCGTGATACCATTCTATCCAGGTTTCATTTCAGTATCGAGAATAACAACCGTCGATTCTTACTTATAGTGACAGAGGGCTAGTGGTCTTCAAAATTTATAAACGAAAGCTTCTTTCAGTCTATGTGTTGTTTGATTAACACTTGATCCAAAAAGTACGGGGTATTTTGTTTGAAGTAAGGACAAATTCCTGATTGTCCAGAAAAGAGTAAGGGTATTGAACTTTGTATTGACAGAATAGACTAATGATCTAGAAAGTTCGGGAACTTTATCTGATTTAGGAGTGAAATCCTGATGTTGTAGAGAAGGTACGAATATTGAACATGTGAAAACCAAAATTGTATGTTTAGTTACTAAAATAGGTCAACCGAATCAAGAAAATTACTGTAATTTAACATTAGAACAGCAATAAAAGATTTGTGAAGAGCCGAATTGGAGAAATTCTCTGTAACTGTTATTCATTGATTCAAATGAACAAGCATGCACACAAGGCTTTTTATACAGAATGGTGAGTAGATTGAAAACGCAAATAAGGAAGTGACACGTGGAAATGAAGCTACTACCTAACAGACAATTCTCGTGACTATAACTGGGCATGTAAACAAAACAAACTATTACTTCATCCCCTCTAAAGTTGGACATGGGTAAGAGAAAATATGCCCAGCTTGGAAAGCAGCTGCTGAAAATGAACACCACCTAGAAGCTTGGTAAAGACGTCCACAAGCTTCTCGGCCGAACTAACATGAAACAAGTAATAAAACAATCCTTGAAACGCTTTTGAACCACGTGACAATTGATCTCTAATTCATGAATCACTGGATTAGCTGCAATGTGCATGGCTGCGCCCTGTTATCACTATGCAACGGAAAAGGAAGAGGAAGAGGCAACTGGAAGTTAGGACAATTTAGGAAGTCCAGTCGAGCTCACTGAGCAGTAACCCTGATATTTGGCTTCCGCAGTAGATTTGGAAACTGTAACTTGCTTCTTGCTTTTCCAGGATCTAAGATAAGATCCTAGCCTCCTAAGAAAACACAAAACCAGTACTGGACTTTCAGTTACCCTTGAATGCAAAGAGACCCAAAGCAGGGCACACTTTAAGATAAGAAAATGAATTGCAGCATTCCAATGTGAAGTGTGTGGTTTAGCAACAAACTGACTCAATTGCTGGTCTGAATGGGTGTTGTCAGCTCGAGTAGAATTTAGGTACATTAACTGACCAACAAATAAGCTGTTTGTATCTGTATGGATCCTGATCCTCTTAGGGTTGTCCCTCATGTGCCATTAAATGCAAGTTCGCAGGAAAGGGTGTTCAACCCGACCTACTATTCTCCATGTAGAAGTTCCTCAGCAGATTATTGACATATTTCTGTTAACATAACAAAGTACCATCTTTACTCCTTGCAGTATGCATATCCCCAAAAAATACTTAGCACCATCCCAAATTTTTATAGTAAAGGCTGCATGAAAGAAATCCTTAACCTTCTGTATGAGAGCCAAGTCAGATCCGCTGACCAAAAGATCATCAACATATTCCAAGGTACCAACAAGATAAGAAAGGTTGTCTCAGATGTATAGCGAAACATAAAACCAGCAGAAGAGGGTTTGTGAAACCTAAACTGTAGAAGTTTAGTAGTGAAGTCCTGATTCCATTGCCGTGAAGCTTGCTCGAGCATCTAAACTTCTTTGCAGCTTGCATACATGGCATGTTGGCCAGCAGAAGCATCAGCATAACCCAATTGTGGATACATAAACACCTCTTCTGTCGTGAAGCTTGCTCGAGCATCTAAACTTCTTTGCAGCTTGCATACATGGCATGTTGGCCAGCAGAAGCATCAGCATAACCCAATTGTGGATACATAAACACCTCTTCTGTCAAGTAACCATGGAGAAACGCATTGTTGATGTCCAGCTGAAAAATAGGCCAACTTTTCTGTGTCGCAACAGCTATCATCAATCTAATGGTGACTAATTTGGCAACTGTGGAGAACCAATCTGTGTAATGAATGCTGAGGCAAAAACTTGGTTGAAGCTCTTAGCAACTAATCGGACCTTATAATTTTTCGATAGCCCCATAAGAATTATGTATACCAGATTCATCGTGATGGGAAAAATAGGTAACATAATCATGATGCCACAAAGGAGGCGTTGTGGTTCTTGGGGATCTAGGAATTGATGGAGAAGTAGGAGTAAGGTTGTGTGATTCATTTTATAGCAAGCGGAACAGGTGCTGAAATGTCACATATGACAGGTGGACAAGGGAGAGTACCTCAGATGATGCATGAGAAGCCAAATAAGGAAAAAGACTGGGAAATGGTTTAACATCTCTTGAAACGAAGTATTTATGGCTGTCCAAATCTTACTAATGAAGCCTCTTATTGCCCTGAACATATCCCACCAAAATATTTTTATGAATTCTGGTATCAAAATTAGCCATTTCAGGATTAACATTTGCTGCATACATGAGACAACCAAAAGGATAAAGTTTCTGATAGATAGGAGGTAGATTATAATTCAAATGTTGTCACCCAAGTGAGAAGTGCAGTACGTACCCCTTTTATAAGATGTGCATCATGTAGTATAGAAAAAGGCCCAAAATTGTATAGGAAGATTGGCTTGAAACACAATGGCTCTGGCTGTATAAAGAAGATGTCTGTGTTTCTCTCACCAAACCATTTTGCTGAGGCGTGTAAGCACAAGTGGTTTGATGAATAGTCCCTTTAGACTGGAAATAAAACAAACAACAATGATAAGGAATTCCAGTCCATTGTCCCTTTTTACTTTCTTAATTTTCTTGTTAACTGAACTGTCATATTAGTGGAATCCTGTAGAAGTTTAGGCACTTGTGTTTTATTCCTGGACAAATACACCCACCCAAGTAGCTTGATTGAATTCATTCACTAGTAATGGGTATTAGTGGCTGATGGTTCTTTACAAGGACCCCAAACATCTACATTTATCAACTAAAAAATGACAGTAGACTGTAAGGAAGGCAAAGGAAAAGGTGATCTATGATGTTTTAGTTTTAAAAGATAATCTGTATGTTTAGTTTTTATGACAATATTCACAGGACCTCATTTCATCAATGTCTGTTTGAGTACGTAGGGGTTTCAGAAAAGATAATTGCTCCAGAGCATTATAAGGAGCATGTCCTAGTGCTAAGTGCCAGTAATACAAAGATTTGCGAGAAGAAAGGGATGAAAAAGCTGTAGTGGTGGATTTGGGCGCATCAAGGCTGTTATCTGAAACAAAACATAGTGTTTCCGTATTATTTTCCCTGTAGCACCCTGCTCCTCTCAACGTCCTGAAATATGCAATGCAATGTACAGAAGTAAACACTCACGAAGATTTAGGTCATTATGAGCTGCAGATGGAGTGTATAGAACATTATGAAGAAGTATGATGTCAAGAATATGGACTGAACTAACATGATTGACTTGCTAAGTTGATCCATCGGCAATAGTACAGTGGTTTGACAAGAGACTGGTTTAAGATCCTTCATGTTATGCAAAAGTCAACACACATATGGCTACTAGAACCAGTATCAAGTATCCAAGAGCCAGCACATTTCTGAGTTCAAAGCTGTTTGAATTTGAAAAAAAAAAATCTGGGGTATTCATCTGTGAATTCTCTTCTCCTTGTTTAGCTCCTTCTGCAGCTCCTACTCGAACATTGTTTGTTATCTTCTCTGCTCTTTGAGCTTTGTTTACCACTCTGGAACACCATGTAGCATGAAATATTCTTGTGCTTCATGTCCATCTGCTGAACAATGTTAACAGAGGAGTTGTGCTTTCTCTGGTAAACACGTCCTTTATTTTGTACTCTCATGTTAGTCATCAGATTAGGCTTTGAACTAATCTTCCCAACCTTTTTTCACCATCATTGCTGCTAAATCTCCTTGTTCGGGAAATTGCATATCAATTGAAATCTCTGCCTCTTCACCCTTTGCAACATGGAATATGCTTTTCACATCTTGCATTGACTCTTTATGTGCAATTTCTGATTGAACCTGATCAAACGATTCATGCAATCCCATGAGAAACTGCAAAAACTTTGTCTGAGCTTCATCTTCCATGATATTTTTACTAACTGGACAATCCCATCAGCGGCAGTTTTAGATTTGCCATCTGATCCCAAAGCCTCCGTACTTATGTATAATAAACCACGAGCATGGTGAGTAGATCTAAAACCTTAAAATATGCAAGTGACGCGTAGATGAAGCTACCTACCCAACAAACAACCCACGTGTAAACAAAATGAACTACTCCTTCAATTTGAACTGGAAAGCAGAAGAAGATATCGCTGAAGGTGAAATCGACATTAGCTGAATTAAAATTAAAATGTTAAGAAAACACAATCTAAAAACAGCATATCAGTGACTTTCAAGCAAAACTTAAAGATTTGAATACGATGTTATATTTTATGTTACTTACCATACATGTATCCTCTGCATATGTCCATGAAAATTGATGTCCTTGTGTCTAGTTTCTAGTTATGTGTGAAATAATGGTCTTGAAATTTATTTTCTGGTAGGCTGCATAAGCTACAGTTGACTATAAGTTCCTCACATTATGATTTTATCCATGCTGGATTAATGGGCGGCAGATTTGTGTGTGTGTGTGTGTGTGTGTGTGTGTGTGTGTCCTGCTAAAAACTATAGGGTGTCAAGTAGATAATAAGTTGAACGAGCACTTACGAAACATTGTCTATGAAATAACAATGTGAAACTAACAAATACTCCATCAATGTTCTGCCAAGGTTTTTGAACTTCTTTAACTGCACTTGTCTATTGCATTACAATTGGTCAAATACCCTTCAGAGTATTCTAACAGACCATATTTTCAGCTTCCCAAGAGTAAAGCAAAGAAAATCTCAAAGAAGATGAAGAAAATGCAAGAGTTGGAGAAACGGTTGCAAGAGAAGGAATTCGATCGTGCTTTCTTCAGGGAGTTTTGGCCAGATAATGTTTGACTGTGTTTGTTTTGAGTAATGCATTGAACACATGTAAACCATCCGACGGCTCCATAGAAGTTTTGTACAGTTGTATCAAATAACTTGATCATTAAATAGACCATGAAAAAGTTATACATGTGAAACCAAGTTGGTTTAAATACATAAATTTGATTGATAATGTGTAATAAATTATAACACGGGGGTGCTTTGCACATCTCATGGGAAGTAACCCTCCACAAAAATATGCAATGCAAATACTGAAAGCAAAAACTAGACGAAATCCAAAATGATACGTTATGTTTGATTCAACACATGAAGCCAAGATGAGTCTAGAAAAAATATAAAATATATTCCACAAAAATAAAGCAGCAGGAATTAAACAGCCACAAAAATTAAAGCAGCAGGAAATAAATCAAAACAGCTTGACTAAGCTATTTCTTCTTCAAGAAAAAGAAGAGGGGCTAGCGCAGTGGCGCGTACCTTTGCTCGGCGTGTATCATGTCCCGAGTTCGAGTCACCTGGGGGGAAATTGGGAACCAGTATTGATCCCTTTTTAAAAAAAAGAAAAAAAAAAGCTTTTTCTTCTTCAAAATTGCCCATCTTGTAGATAGAAAGAACACCTGATTAAACAGCCCCATGTTTTTTTTTTTTTAATACAATTGAATGTACTTGCATATTACTTTTACAAGATATTTCACTTACTACAGTCCCTATTCTACCTAATTATATATATTTTTATTAATTAGATAATAATAATTTTGGTAAATAATATTTACCTTTAAATCAATTAAAAAAAGATTAATAAGAGAATATTCCATGTAGAGTAAATGGTTGAAGATGATGATACCAATTGTAACACCCCGCTAGCTTATTAAAATCAGAGTCAAATTTTTGGAAAATCTTTTCTAAAAATACGTATTAGTTTGCGAAATCGTGATTCGGGATGCTACTGAAAAACCTTTCTTTTCTGGAAATCCGTTATCCTTTTTGAGTTAAAACTATTAAGAGAAACAGACTATAATTACTTAGACAAACATGTAATACTGTATATATAATCTACTCATGTCTGTAAACTGGCTGGTCAACAGTATAAAACTGGACCAGATACTGAATAGGCCGACTATAATAAAAATCAGTCGGACCCATGTGCACACCCTAGTGGTCAGATCTCGCCACTAGAGCTTAGAATGGAATAACGCAAACTGGCCACCACTCTAAGCGGAACTGGTATATACATACCTCGAACATAATAGTTGTAATTATACTCAATGAAATACTCAGTCTCAGTCCCCACCTGAACTGCTGGTTTGAAAATGTAAGTGCTGCTGGCTGATCAAACTTCATAGAGCTCGGAAAATGGCACAAGGGCCCTCTCTCGGCCCTTACTCGGGGCCTATGAGCTAAGCCTTGGCTAGAGCTGCTCCCGGCTGAAAGGAACGACTTCATTAGACTTCTAGTATTCCCAGAAGCTCTATGATATAAAGTTGGTGCGGCTGAACTCGGCTAGAAAAGGAGGTAGCTCGGTGATGAATTACTTTGGCTATGGCACTCTCTCTTTCTCTCTCGGCTATGATAAGTTTAGCAAGGGAAAAATCATAAACTTACTCCTTCCACCATCTACTTATACTAACTTAAGGAAATACTAAAGCATGAGGTGGAAATTTAGCATGAAGCATGGTGGCATGATGAGTGCTTAGTCATACCCTTAGGTGGCGCCCCTGTAGAGACTCAAAATTTGTGGCCAATAAAATAGCGCCACGTGGAAATTAATTTATTAAAAATCAAATCATATTTTCTATTTATATTTTATGAATTTCCATATATTTAATTCCTAAATTTAAATAGTTAAATTAATTGATATTTTAATATTTTAATTCTTGACCAATCAAATAATGCCAAGTGTCAAATCTTATTCTTGGTAAATAAATCATATTTTCTAGAAGATCTTGGAAGATTTAAGTGGATCTAGAAGATATTGGGAGATCTAAGTAGATCTTAAAGATCTTATGTGAATCATCATGGACCAATCAAATCGCGTCCTACGATTCTTAAATTTGGTAGGGTGTTCTCTCCTACACCTATAAATAGGGGTTCTCCCTAATGTAAAAAAAAAACACATCATAATTCATATTTTGAAGTTCAAGATCTCTAGAGATTTCTATCTACAAGTTTCAAGTGTTCTTGAAGATTCGAAGCCGTTCTTGAAGATTCGAAGGAAAATTCAAGCACATTCAAGCTCAACACCGACGTTTAATCCGGAAACAAGCTACCAAGCCTCCGAATTACGTTTTTATTCAAGTTCAAGTTCAAGTTCAAGTTCAAGATCTCTCGACGAGATTCAAGTGTTCTTGAAGATTTAAAGGCGTTCTTGAAGACTCAAAGCAAGATTCAAGCGCGTTCAACCTCAAAACTAGCGTTCAATCCGGAAACAAGCTGCGAAGCCTCCGAATAACGTTAGTAAATTCAAAACCGGCGGGAAGAAGATTCGAGATCTACTTTGCGACGAAGACCAAGGATTCGTGTTCTTCGCGTTCTTGGGATATTTTTACGTTTGATCCGGGAAAAAGCTTTCAAGCCCTCGGATTACGTTAATTCATGTCAAATCAAGTCAAGGAGAAGATCAAACCGAAGATTTCGCTCCAAGACTTAATATATTGTTTGTGAGAAGAATCAGAGGAATAATAGAGATTGTAACCCGCAATATTTATTTTGATTCAATAAATTCATTTGAATAATATTTTTCGTGTTTTTAAATTCAATACACGAAATTTGTTATTACAGCCCCCAAGTGGGCCTAGTCACTACCTAAGTACTACTACTATGCCACATAACCTAAGCAAAGAGGTGAGTCACACCATGCAACTTGCATGAATACTTAGCCTACCCACACACATACTCACGGCAATTGCTAGGTTTAAGTAGGAATTAATTATGCTTGCACTTGATAATTACTTAGGCATGAGCTAATAGTGGATGGCCATGAGTGGCGTGTGCAAGACTTAGGCATGGCAACATGCATTAGCTATTTAAGCTCATGAACCTTACTTATATTAAGACTTATTTGTACTTAATTACTTAGAAAATTTATTTAAGTATAAGTACAAATTTAACTTAGATTTATTCTTGACCGAACTTATGAATTTCGGTCGAGGCTTATCTTCGAAAATTAATTCGAATGTCATGACTTCGAATAATACATCAACTTAGCTTATTAATTCCGAACTCATTAATTAAATAACGAATCGGAATTAAATCTGGAAACTTGTTCGGTTACTCAAATAATTAAACTGGATATTAAATCGACTAAAAGTCGAACTTAAAACTGGAACTCAATAACTGGCTTGAAAATCATTTTTTACGATTAATCAAATATTCTTAATTTAATCAATACATCAACATTGGAATAATTAATCCCAACTCACTTATGTCCATTTATTAATTAAACGGACTGAGATTAATTACTAGACTTTGCTCGGTTAGTAAATAAAATCAACCGAATATATTTTCGACTTAACGTCGAACTTGGAACTTAACTAGCTGAATAAACATGAACATTTATTAACAAAGGCTAGCTTGTATTTAAAAGCTAGTATCTTTCCCTAATTAATAAAATACGGGGCGTTACAATCTACCCCCTTAAAATATTTCCGTCCTCATAAATACTAAGCTGAGTGTACAAGCTTAATACAAAGCTTGTACTAATTTGATGACATAACTCAGAATTCAGTAGCTGAGTACTGAATTTTAGACTCTTGACAAGCTTTTAACTAAAGAATCGCCGATTCACAATAACTTAGTGAACCGGTGATTAATACTGGCTAGAATATGAACACCTTACTGATCGAAGGTGCTTCATTGATCCAACTCGATACTCAAGACACAATTCCTGAGCATACTGACATCACCTCCTGGTTGATTGTCGATCTTCGGTCTAGACTTCGGTTGTGAGATTCAAGTCGTTGTAGTACGCACGGAAAACTTCAGACGCATATGTACAAATAAGGACTACTAGCAATCTCGGTAACTACCTGTCGTGAATACCTACTCGATGACGCGAAACTTCGTTCGCTACACTATGCAATGCGGTACGCCTGCTCCTCATCTAGTGAGTGCGGCGCGCCTGCATGCGACACCTGGCGAACATTGCACCTGCGACGTCAATGTAGTCTGTATGACTAATCATATATGTATCTTTTCTAGTAATCTCATCGCACTAATATGTTAACTCTCTGTGATCTCCCGGCGCACTATGACTCAGATATGGTTTCCTTCTCTTCTCGCGACATGCGTCCTTGTATGGAAGGCTCCGGTTTGTCACCACGGCGTTTTCTGTTGCTGTTTATAAGTCTCCTCCATCACGAACAAAAGATGTGTCGTACAACGACACGCTGAAATTTGGTAATATTCGTCTTTCCTGAGGTTAACTGACCTCAAGAAAAATCTATCGCGAAACGATCTTTCCTGCGATTTCTCGAAATTCCTGAATATCAACTCAGAGGAAACGAGATGGAAACATAATAACGACTGAAAATGAAGTGCATGTTTGGAAGTACTTTTGTAAATATTTATTGATTAAATGGACTTATGCAAAATAGACTTTTTCAAAAAAAAAAAAATCTATCTTTGAGCTTGTTTGAAAATACTTCTTAAACAAACTTTAGATGCCAAAATTCATGAAAAACCAACTTATTCATAAATCTATTTTTAATTAATCACCTAACTTAAATTATTTATCTAAATAGACTGTTGCATCCAAAATCCAATTGACAAGTGTTTCCAAAACTTTCTTGCTTAGGACATGGCCAAAAGGCGGGCCTAGCCCGGACCCGGTCCCCCCGCCGGGCCATGGTCGACAAAGACAAGGCCATCGGCTCGGTTGAAATCCGAGCCGGGCTTGAACTTGTGGTCAACGGGTTTGATTGTGGCGGGTCCGGGTCAGGTCAGTGCGATCCGGGTGGCCCGTGGGCACGTCAGCCTAACCCATATTCACAAATCGCAATCAATAGTACATTGCGTGTACGCACCTTTTTCATGCTGGATGCTAAATGACAGACCAGACAGAGAAATGGAAACATAAACGACGAGTTTTTTCGTTTGTCCTCCTTTTTCTATGGGCCCTCTGTTAGGAAATATTTTATTTCCTATGTATAATCTAAGTATGGGCAACATATTATAT